ACCTGTACTCTCTTCGCAAGAGAAGTTTGACCCGAGCACAACTGTATTCTCCTATAAACGACTAATAAGGCACTGGGTGATGGAAAGCAACGAGCGAAGAATTGAGAGAAGAAAAGTGAGACGAGGAGAGTGTGGAGGTACAATGAGGACGGACGGACGGACGGACGAACGGACGGACGAGTAGAGCACGATCCATGCTTCACATCAAGTAGACAGCCCAATATAACACTGAAACAGTTTCACGCTAGGTTCGCGACGTGGAACGTTTAGATGGCGAGAAATCGCCGCGGACCTACCATTGAAACAGGCATATCCAATAGGGAACACCTAAACAAATATCGAGTATAATGAGGCACATTTAAACATACAGATATGGAATATACAATAGACACATGGAAACAGTAGGGATTACGACGTTTACCAGACGGGAGACGACGTCGATACGTTTCGAACGCTCTTTGTAGCGTCGAACGAATATGCGACAGCAGAACGAGGTTCGCGGTTGACTGCCGGCTAGCGGTCGATACCCATCCTGGGGTAGCTGCTTCATCTGAAGGGTTCAGAGCTCTAAGGAGCACACACACAAACACATAGGCACATAATCAGAAAGGCAAGACGGATTGCAAAGTCCCGTGAATCTGTTTTACAGTAACCCGAAAACGCACTGGCCGCTTTCTTAGTCCCCCGTCTGGCCCGCGAGCGAGCGAGCGACCTGGGGCGGCTCTTGTCCCTTGTTTACAACTGAATCTTGGTCGATACCGCCGGACGTGTAGTCCCTCGGCCGGCTCGCGCGCTCGCTTGCGGACTATGAAAGCAACCACTCGAGGGCCTCCAGACAACCCTCACATATGCGATGCAACATAAAGATACCTTGGGTGAGGTTACTGTATCAGACGCTCACGGAACTTTAAAATCTGGCTTGCATCAGAAAGCAGCCAGCAGCGTACGCACCATTCGTTGGCCGCAACTCATATCCTTGCGAGCGGCGTAGTTGACCAAAGCAAATTCGAGAAGAGCGCCAAAAATGAACGCCAGACATACGCCGATCCACACGTCAATCGCCTTAACGCTCTCAGTGGAATTTAGGGACACACAAATGGTTTTAAGGCTTTAGGTCACACTGGGTGGAAGATTAACCGGCTCTTGCTGCTTCCACTACAAAGGCAAGTTGTGAAGACCGTGGTCAGGGGGAGGTGACAGGAAGTGAAGGTGGTAGGGTACGGTACAAGATCGCATGTAAACTTTGGCAGCGTTGGGGTAGAAGGCCTTATAGCGACAGTTGCATTCAAAAGTCTAAAAAGTAGGCACCTACTATGAAGTACGTGCTGGCCCCCACATGTTCCCACTTAACGAATCACCAAGTGCGACATTTTGCCAGCGATCGATAGAACAGTTTTTCGAAGGGAACAATTCTTCCCTTTTTCATTTTCCCGTTTTGTCGGTGACGTTGCATTTGTCTTTCCGTTCGGGATATGACTACAAATAACAACTACAAGTACTACAAGGAAAGAAGTGCCTTCCAAGAAAGAAAAATGGTCCCCTTGATCGCTGGCAGGATGCAGAAGCACGGTAAGTGTGTCGGTTATGCACATGTCCCCGTGACCTACTTCTCCGAGGCGGCAACTCATTACCCAGTTTATTTGATGGCCATACTTAACGATTTCCTGCAGCAAGAGCTAGCTGACTATGATTCATGTACAAATCGGCAGCTATTCCACCGAGTGTGACCTGAACCTAAAGGGAGTCAAAGTTAGCGAAGTAATTGCGTGCCTTCGTGTAGCTGACCGGAGGCAGCTTCGCGTTGATACCCGAGCTCTAAAAGTGAGTGGTTATTTAGACAGAGACAGAAACAACAACAAAGACAACAACAACAACAACAACAACAACAACAACGACTGTAAGACAAATAGACGCTGGCTTTCCTGAGTGGTCATAGTGAGCAGGGTAGTGACACCTGAAAACATGATCGCCACGTAAATTTATCATGTTTGAAGTTGGAGTAAGCACCCAAATGGGCGTAGGACCAGACATATGGGAGACATATGGGAACTAGATGAAGGGAATCTTTGTTTTTATACTTGTTCGAGATTACAAGATGAAGATTAAAATTACTGGCGTTAATCAATCCCGTCTTAGGGATGCGCCCCGCACACGACTTCACTTCAAAATCGTAGTGGAGTAATGAGAGCGTAGTGGCCTATACAATAAATGGCGGTAGCCAGCCGATGTACAAGTCAGTACTTTTAGCCAGCCGTTGTATAAGTCGTGTTTATATCCTCCCGAACCCGCCTGGTACCAATGAGCCGACCTCAGAGGAATAGAAGGCTTGGTTGGCCTGGGCGGATATCGATCCGGGATTAAAACCCGTGACAATGCATGCGAGATATTGCGACACTTGCCACTACACCACCTCCGCCCTTCGTTCACGATTAGCGCGAAGAACCAAGGTAGAACGGTGATCTGTCCCTCTCTTTCGATGGCGCATTTTGTGGTCTGAATCGTGGATTCCCTCTCAAAGTGCAAGTTCCTCCCCCTGTCATGTTGCTCCGCTGACTCGGAGGTAGGGATCGAAGAGAGGGCTGTGACTGCAGCATTTTTTCGAAGAATAATGACGTTGCTCCCCGCTACAGGCTTATTTTCGTCTACCAATCTGGATATATGAGCCTCTCGCTGCATGCAAACCAGCCATCAGAAACCCTTCTATTGGAAGTTATTCTGATACAACATATGCAGTGCGAACCGAACTGCCCTACAACTCGAAAGAACTTGGCGGCGCGGGTGCGGGTCCCTTATTCCACTGACAGGATTGGCTAACTAGCTATGTATCAGCGGGGGCTACCAAATAAAGCTACTGATGCATTCGCATTCAACCCATTCTTCAATCTCTTGGTGCTTATAGTTAGGACTTCGAACACTAATTCTACCCTTGCATGAACAACGTCCATTTTTCACGAGCGCGTTTGAAATTCAGCTCAGGAACTAGGAAACCCTGAAATTCTATTCAAAGAGCTGTTAGAAGAAGCTGCATGAATTGCTCTGACTGTGGTGAAAGGATAAAAGTTAAAGTCTTTGGGCGTTGATCAAACCCGTCTGAGGGCTGTCGTAAGAGCCTGGTACCAATTAAGCAACTCCGGAGGGATGAAATGACCAGCGAGCACGTGACCGTGCGTGAGCGATAGCGCCCTCCCCCTGCCAATACACCCTCTCTTCCTTTGTTACTGTTACTATGGTAGTCACTGATTATATTTGTTCATTGCGCTCGGTTAACCAAGGAATCCAATTTCGAGCAAAGCTGCTCAGGTGCTTCCCTTATATCAGGGTGAACATTTACTGGAAGAGGTTCAGCCGCTGTGAGACACTTCCTGTTTCAAACAGCTCTGGAGGAGACACCCTCACAACAATGGTGCGATGTTTCGGGGTGTGGTACAGTAGGAACGAAATTGTCGCGGCGCGACGAGAGAGGCGCCGCGCGCGAAGGACTGTAGCAGAATGA